TTCTCTACTTTCAGAGAATACCAGTAAGATGTTTACCTGTGTCTTATTGACTCTGCAAAGGCATTCAACTGTGTGGATCATAACAAATTATAGATAACATTGCAAGAATGGGAATTCCAGAACACTTAATTTTGCTCATAAGGAACCTGTACCTTGACCAAGAGGCAGTCATTCGAACAGAACAAGGGGATACTACAGGTTTAAAATCAAGAAAGGTGTACATTAAGGTTGTATCCTTTCAACATACTTATTCAGTCTGTATGCTGAGCAAATAATCCAAGAAGCTGGACTATATGAAGAAAAACACAGCATCAGAATTGGAGGAAGACTCATTAACAACCTGTGTTATGTAGATGACACAACCTTGCTTGGTGAAAGTGAAGAGGACTTGAAGCACTTACCAATGATGATCAAGGACTACAGCCTTCAGTAGGGCTCGCACCTCAACATAAAGAAAACAAAAATCCTCACAAACTGGGCCAATAAGCATCATCATGATAAATGGATAAACGGAGAAAATATTGAAGTTGTCAAAGATTTCATTTTACTCGGATCCACAATCAATGCCCATGGAAGCAGCAATTAAGAAATCAAAAGACGCATTGCATTGGGCAAATCTGCTGCAAAAGACCTCTTCGAAGTGTTAAAAAGTAAAGATGTCACTTTAAGGACTAACATGTGCCTGACCCAAGCTGTGGTGTTTTCAATTGCATCATATGCATGCAAAAGCTGAACAATGAATAAAGGAGAACAAAGAAGAATTGACGCCTTTGAATTATGATGTTGGCAAATAATATTGAATATACCATAGACAGCCAAAAGAATGAACAAATCTGTCTTGGAAGAAGTACAGCCAGAATTCTCCTTAGAAGCAAGGATGGTGAGACTTTGTCTCACATACTTTGGACGTGTTATCAGGAGGGACCAGTCCCTGGAGAAGGACATCATGCTTGGTAAAGTAGAGGATCAGTGAAAAAGAGGAAAACCCTCAAAGAGATGGATTGACACAGTGGCTGCAACAATGGGTTTAAGCTTAACAACGATTATAAGGATGGTGCAAGACCAGGCAGTGTTTCGTTCTATTGTACAAAGGGTCGCTATGAGTCAGAACCAACTCGACGGCACCTAACAACAACAACAAAGCAAATTAGTTTCTCATTAAACAATTAATACACATATTGTTTTGTGATATTGGTTGCCAACCCTGCAACATGTCAACACTCTCCCCTTCTTGACCTTGGGTTCCTCATTTTCATTCGTCCAGCTTTCCTATCCCCTCCTGCCTTCTCGTCCTTGCTTCTGGGCTGGTTTGCCCATTAGGCTCGTACACATGGTTGAACTACGTGTTATTGTTTGATTTATGGGCCTATCTAATCTTTGCCTGAAGGGTGAACATCAGGAGTGACTTCAATACTGAGTTAAAAGGGTGTCCGGAGGCCATACTCTTGGGGTTTCTCCAGTCTCTGTCAGACCAGTAAGTCTGGTCTTTTTTGTGTGTGTGAGTGTGAATTTTGTTCTACACTTTTCTCCAGCTCTGTCCAGGACCCTCTATTGTGATCCCTGACAGAGCAGTCGGTGGTGGTAGCCGGACACCATCTAGTTGTGCTGGACTCAGTCTGGTGGAGGTTGTGGTAGTTGTGGTCCAGTAGTCCTTTGGACTAATCTTTCCCTTGTGTCTTTGGTTTTCTTCATTCTCCCTTGCTCCAGACAGGGTGGGACCAGTAGATATATCTTAGATGGCGGCTCACAAGCTTTTAAGACCCCAGATACTACTCACTAAAGTAGGATGTAGAACATTTTCTTTATAAACCATCTTATGCCAATTGAGCTAGATGTCCCCGGAGACCATGGTCCCCAGCCCTCAGCCCAGTAACTTGGTCCCTCAGGGAGTTTGGAAGTGTCGATGAATCTTGTATGACTTTGCCTTGGTCAAATTGTGCTGACTTCCTGAGTATTGTGTACTGCCTTACCCTTCACCAAAGTTACCACTTATTTATTGTCTAGTTGCCTTTTGTTTTTTAAATAAAATATTACAAATAAGGGTGTAGTCTCATTTCACAACCAGCCCCACTCCTATCACCCACCCCTTTCTCCATTAGCATTAGTTTGATTTTAATTGTTCCAGTCTGGTATTTTCTGTTGTTGTTGTTTTTAGTTTTGAACTCTATGTTCATCAACAATATTAGTATCATTATATGTGCTTACATAGTGTTATATTGATTATTTATTATTATACAACATACTTTTTCATTCAATATTATGTGTTTAAGAACTATTCCTGTTTGTAAATGTAGATCTAATTCACTCACTTTATCTACCATGTGGTATTCTCTCATATGTCTGCCCATTCTTCTATTAATGTACATATGGCTTCTCCACATGGATGAACTTTCCCACAACATGGTGACTGGGTTCCAAGGACAAATTTCCCAAGAGATGGAGAACTAGGCAAAAAAGCCCTTGATGATCTTGAGGTGGAATTCATGCAGCATCACTTCTGCCCCATTAAATTCACTTTTTAACTCCTGATCTCTTGAAATACTGACATGAAGAGGTCCATATATAATGAAAGAGGACAGGCATGAAAGCAAAGTGCATCAGTTAGCTTTCACTGAATTACAAACTACTACAAAACTCAATGGCTTAAAAGTAATCATTTATTAGCTCATGACCCTATGGGTCAGCAATCTGTGCTGATCTTGGCTGAGGGATTTTTCTGAGCTTTCTCATGCATTTGCAATCACTGGAATCTCTGCTGGGAATTGATGATGTAGAATGGCCTTACTCACATACCTGTCAGTTGATAGGCTGTCAGCTGATATGCCATTGTTCTCCTCTATGTGTTCTCCCCAAAAGGCTAGCTAAAGCTTGTTCACCTGGTGGCCCCAGGGTTCACAGAAGCAAGAAAAGGCAAGCTCCCACGCGCAAGTGCTTTTCAAGCCTCTGTCTGGGTCATATCTGCTAATGTCTCATTAGCCAAAGTAAGTGTTTCCATTATAATGACTCAATAATAAGTCACTCCAAAACTTAGTGGCATAAAACAATGTCAACATTTATTGTGCTCACAAATCTCCAATTTAGGCAGGGCTCAACTCTGCTCCGGTCATCACCAGCAGGAGAGGCTTAAAGGTTGTGGCCTGGAATCATCTGAAGGCTCGTTTCACGCACATGTCTAGTAGTTGATGTTGGCTGTCTGCTGAGATTTGAAATGGGGCTGTCAGCCAGAACATCTACATACGGTTTCTCCACATAGACTGCACTTTCCCACAACTTGGTGACTGGGTTCCAAGGACAAACTTCCCAAGACAGGAAGACCTAGATGAAAAAGCTTTTTATGATCTTGACGTGGAATTCATGCAGCATCACTTCTGCCACATTCTATTCATCGAGATTCACAGAGGCTCATCCAGTTTTAAGGAGAAGGCGATCGACTTGATGTTTTGATGAAGAGTGGCAAGGTTCTAGAACAGCACAAGGGACCAGAAATATTTCTATGGTTGTTTTTGGAAAACACAATCTGCCACAGAAGTTTACATGGCCAAGTCCAGGTTCAAGGACAGGAGAAGTACACTCCACCTCTTCTTGGGAGAACCAGCAATGTAACATTTCAAAGAGATGTGCCTACATGAATGGGAGGAATTATGGTGGCCATTTTGCAAACTACTCCACTGTTAAAACTGTTACTACAAGGGAACTCCTACTATAGCGAAGATAGAGAAGGCTATTAAGTACACTAACAAAATGCACTACTAGTAGACAGTCTTTTGGTTTTTTTATATCACACATCATACAATAAATTGGAATTTTACAAATATTTGTAACTTTTACCAATATATATATATCACACCAAAAATAGAACAAGATCTCGTCTTACTGGCTACCTGCCTGGAAGAAGTCTATGATTTATTAGCTAAATTTCTGAAAGTAGGTCTTTGCAATAAAGGAGGAAAATGTATATGAACACCTTCTAAGTAATTCAAGCAGACAGTCTCTTTTTGAGACTGTTCTTTAAGCTCTTCTTGTCTTCAAGAAACTATCCCCATACGTTTAATAAAGGTAAGTAATAACCTTGTCAAGCATCTTTTTTCGGGAGATCAGGAATACTTTTAAATCTTTTCCGCTCACAGGCTAGCTCTGGTGTACTTCCTTAATAGATTGACACATGGCTTTTCTTCTCCTCCTTCTTCTTCTTCCTTCCTTCCTACCTTCCTTCTTTCCTTTCTTCCTTTTTCATGTGGGAGAAACAGAAAAGGTCTGTGTAGGTCAACTGAGCAGATGATGCAATGAATTCAGACTTCTACCTGGCACACCAAAAATCAACACTGCTTTTGGAGCATCTTTTGGGGAACCCAAGAAGGCCCTTATCAGGATCAAAGATGAGGAAGACAGTGAGATTTTACTTACTTTCTAGTTTTAAGACAGACAGGAAATAACAAGTTCAGGTGCTGGAAATTAATAAATAAAAGGAGTGTTGACCGACAACTTTTCTAAATCTAGATGGATGAATTCAATCGGAAATGTCCTGCCTTAGGACTGAGAAACTATTTAATATTATTTAATTGAGCCATTATTAATGATTTTTATCCCATGAGATTTCTTACTAAATAGAGAATGTACTAGCTCTCTAGACATAACAGTGGAAATAAAGTCTTACAGTCATATATTTTCCAAAATTTAAATAGAAGTATCTCTATTACTTACGAGCAGAGCTTCACTGACTTCATTACACTCCTTGGGAACTAATTTAAGTCACCAGCCACGGACTGAGCATGCTTCCCTTCTTCCTCCCAGAAATATTTTTAAAATAAAGATTGTTCAGGTATTTGAGTAGGGCTTGTAAATATTTTAGAAATTTCTATAGTTTAAAATGTTATAAATTTAAAGGGGGAATTTCCTGTTCTTATTTTCTTCTCTGTAGCTTTAATAAATTATTTTTGGCCAGTGTCTTACTTTTAGATTATCTTTGTGATTTAAGATGAATGAGTCTATATAAATGGAATTGCCTCCTTCACAGAACCAGTGATCAAATTCTCCAGAATAATATTCAGCATCCAGGAGTCCCATGGCACTGGGGAGATTGCCCTGGTCAGGATCCCAGTGATGCCTCTTGGTGACACTTCAGGAACCTCCCTGGTGAGAGTACACATGAAGGATGGCTCAGCCACTTCTGGCGAAGACTACAGTCCTGTGTCTAGAGGTAAGGTCACCAGATATCATGCTCATCAGGGATTATATTCTTTGTTCATTGTGCACCTCACTCACAGCCTTGAAAGGGAAGAAGCAGAGAGAGGAGGTGCCAAGGAAACATACACCTAAGCCCCAAAAAGCAGGTTATACATTACGTTTCAACCCTGAAAATGTAACAGGCATGAAAAGGACTTATTTAAAGTTTGCTTCCCGTCCCTTTCATTGTCCACTTGTTAGTAACAGTGCTAATGACTAATATATATATATATATATTTTTTTTTAATGACAAGGGGAATAAGAGTAAAAGTTATGAAGAAAAAAGGAACTAGTGCGGAGTCTGGATTGTTCTCATGTCACATCTTTAGCGACCTCAAGAGGATATGCACAGTGAACTCTGTAAGTAGGACGAGGAGGTCTTGGAGGTACTTAAATGTCAGGCAGAGGAGGACAAAGTCACAAGAGATGTACACAAAGCCCCTTGTAGCAGCTCAATAATATTTGCAGAGTGAGTGAATGAGTGGGCAGAAAGTGGCAGGACCACTCAGACCTGATGAAGGGAGGAGGTTGCCGTTCTGGAATGTTCTGAGAGGATATCTGCTCAACTGTCTGCTGAGGCCAACAGGACACTGGGGTGATCCCCAGATACTTTATAGAAGGGCCTCAAAGAACTAGAGAAAAGCAATTAAAATGTGAAGAGAAACAGGGACTGCCTTATGAAAACAGAACAAAATATTTCAGGCTTTTCACTCTTTAAAAATGGAAGTTGAGAAGGGATCTCCATTCATTCAGAAAACATTTATTGGAAACCCATTATATGCCAGACACTTTTCTAGGCACTAGGAGTACAGTAGTAAATAAAATAAAGTCCACGCTTCCATAGGACTTTTATTCTAGTTGGGATGGGGTAGGGGATGAGGGAAAGACATGCAATAAACTGAACAAAACAGACAGAATCAAATGATGTATAATACATCGGATATTACAAAAGCTATGTGATGGGTTGATTTGTGTCCCCCTGAAGGATATGTTCAAGCCCTAACCACCAGTATCTATGAACGTGAACTTATTTGGAAATACCATATTTGCAGATGTAATTAATTAAGTTAATGTGAGGTCATACTGGAGTAGAGTGGGCCCTAATCCAATATGGCTGGTGTCCTTACAAGAAGAAGAGACAGAGATATATAGCGAAGACGGCCATGTGACCAGAGAGGCCAAGATAAGAGTTATGTTGCCATAAACCAAGGAACATCTGGGACCACCAGAAGCTAGAAGAGGCAAAGAAGGATTCCTCCCCTAGAGCCTTCAGAGAGAGCCAAGCCCTGTTGACACCTTGATTTCGGACTTCGAGCTCTAGAACTGTGAGAGAATAAATTTTGTTGTTTTAAGCCACCCCATTTGTGATCCTTTGCCATGGCAGCCATAGGAAACCAGCACAAGCTGTAAAGCAGAAAAGGTCTCAGAATGGTCACTGGGAGAGGAAAGTTATTCTGACTAAGGTGATAAGATGCCATTTGAGCAGAGACTGGGACAAAAAGATGGAGTGAGTTGCATGGGTCTATGAGGAGAAAGTTTACTAGACCGAGGAACAGCAAAGATGCCAGGTGACTGAAGCTCATCCTGAAAAATGCCAAAAGGGGGGCTGGGGAGGGAGCAGGGAGACAGACCGTGCACGTCTCTGAGGCCAGGATGGGGCTCGTGGACTTTACTCTGAAAAGAAGGGAAGTCATTGGAGAGAAGTGAGCAGTGCAGCAACACTGTCTTGTGCTTTAAAAGAGTCACGTTGAACGCTGTGGAGAGATAAGGCAGTAGGAGAATGGTTAGGAGACTATTGCAAAAGTTCAGGTGAGAGACGGTGGTGGCTAAACTAGGTCCTAGAAGCTGGTGAAAAATGGTTGGATTCTGGGTAGACTGTGAGATAGTGGGATGTGAGGTGAGAGAGAAGAGGAGTTACTCTGGATTGCCATTAACTGAAATGAAAAAAAGATGCAGGGACAACGTATTTGGTGGAATAGAGGGAACTAAGAGTTTGATTTGGGGCATATAAGTTTGAAATGTCTATTTCTTATAAGGAGAGAAGTCTACATCTGCACTGTGTTATTTGGTAGCCAATACCCACCTATGGCTATTGAGTACATGAGATTGTGGCTTATCGAATAAAGCTGTGTGGTAAATGTAGAATACACACTGGATTTTGAAGACCGTATGAAAAAAAGAACGCAAAATATCTCATTAATAATTTTTATACTGATTACATGCTGAATTGACAATATTTTAGGTATGTTTAGTTAAAGACAGTGTATTATAAAAGTTAAGTTCGCCTGTTTCTTTTACTGTTTTAATGTGACTAGGAGAAAATTTAAAATCATATCAGGGCTTCTCATATTTCTATTGGGCAGTGCTGGTCTAGGCACACAAGGTCAGGACTGGGGATGGAAACTGGAGCATCAGCGTTGACGTTGTTGTTGTTGTTAGGTGCCGTCCAGTTGGTTCCGACTCACAGTGACCTACATAGAACAAAACACTGCCTGGTCTTGCGCCATCCTCACAATTGTTAATCTGAAATCCTTTAGGCCTTGAATTCCTTTTAAACCGTTGGCCTTGGTGTTCCTTGGTGTTTCGATCTGTGAGGAGATATTTATTCTTCTTAATTGAAGTATGATTACTTCCCAACGGGTACGTGTGTCAGGGGTTGTGCCAAACCAGACCATATACGAAATATGATGCATCTTCCTCAAGCGTTAAGTATTGGAAGCATTTTGATAAAACCAAATGTAGTATGGACTAAAATAGAGCATTTGCCTTACTAAGACCAGCCACAAACATCAAAAACATTTCACCACTTCTGCTTCTTGCCCAGAGGCAGTGGTGGTTCAGTGGTAGAATTCTCGACTTCCATGTGGGAGATCCAGGTTCAATTCCAGGCCAATACACCTCAGGGGCAACCACCACCCATCTGTCAGCAGAGGCTTGAGTGTTGCTAGAATGCTGAACAGGTTTCAGCAGAGCTTCAAGACTAAAACAGAACAGGCGAGGAAGAAAGGCCTGGCCATGTACTTCTGAAAATTAGTCAATGAAAACACTATGGAAAACAATCCAGATCACAGGAATGGCACAGGACTGGGCAGTGTTTTGTTCCATTGTGCATGAGGTGGCCATGAGTTGGGGCCAACTCGATGCAACTGACGGCAACAGCTCTTGCCCAGACTCCCAGAGTTATTCATTTGTTTTTGCAGAGTTAACCATCAGTAGAAAGTTTGATATACACAGACATAAACTTTGCATCTTTTACTCCCACTTTTTGTCTCCTCCTAGGCCCGTAATCCTAAATTGTCCAATTATGAGAAGACAGGAGCCATCTGCTCAGCTGACAGCATTAATGACACCCTAACTCCCAGCAGCAGTGACGGGCACCAGCCCCATGCAGGCAGTGAACTTCAACACTTTCTTCACTGACACAAAATTGATCACACTTGACTCCATTTGCTTCAAAGCTGGGTCAAGGGTACAGGATGCAGCTTGAACTGTCAGTGCCAGTGGTGTTATGGGGCTTGAGCTTCTGAGTCCAATTGTCACTGAAAACAAAAAGGATGGTGAGATACCACAAAAGGAAATCCCAGGATAAAAGGGCTCCATAATTAAAAGGGAAAATTAAAACTTCTTTAAGCATATAGATGTTGATCCATGTCAAATTCATTCTTCTTCACTGAAATAATACAGTAACTTCCCACTTATATTAAATATCTAAGAACTCATTAAAGCAGGTTGGGGGTAGGGATTTTTTATTTTTTTACATGTAGTTTGAACTTTTTATATTGTTATAAGAAAAAACAACTGGGAAAAAATAGATTTAAAAAAATAAAAACTTACCGAGAGGGTTCTAAGTTTTGTAAATTTAAAACCCAGTTCTACATCTACATTAAGAGCACTGATCAGTTATCATTTATTTTGACTTGACCAACACCCAGGAGCTATGTTAAGTGCTTTACGCACACTTTTTTTTCATTTAATTCTCACAACATTCCAGTCTAGTATGTCTTATCTTCATATAAAATAATTATTTTAATGGTAATGAAACTGAGGTTCTGAAAAATTAGGCAATTTGCTCAAGGTCATTAGGAGAGTCATGAATACAACTGTCTGGTTCTAAACCTCGAGTTCTTTTCATTCCCTCTGTGCCTCAGTATGGTATTGTGTGGTAATAAAAACCAAATACAATGATAT